CCTAAACCCTAAACCCTAGGGCTGAAGGCTTAGTTGCAGGGCAGGGCAGCTAAGGCCCAGCTTTCCAGCATCTTCAGCCCGAGACTTCCTCCAGGTTTTCAGCCCTAGAAGCTATGAAGCCGCAGCCCTGAACGTTTTTGGTGTTGGGTCTTAGAGGGTTTAGGGGGTTTAGGGTTTAGGGGTGTAGGGTTTAGGGTTTAGGCGTTGAGGCGTTTAGGGGTTCGGGGGTTTAGGGTTTAGGGTTTAGGGGCTTAAAGGTTATATATCCGGAAGCACAAGTCCAGCTACACGACCTCGATGTGAGTGATGGGAAGTTATGGGGAAGAGACCGAAGCTAGACTGAGAGTGCTTTCTGGTGCAAAGTAGAGGTTCGGCTCGGGCTGGAGTGGGTCGAGGGATAAGGTTCCAGGGTTTGTGGTTTCTCAGGTCTAAGGTTTAATATAAGGGCTGAAATAATTATTTATACTATTTTGGGCAACTTATTAATACCCCAAAACCCTAAACCCTAAACCCTAAACCCTAAACCCTAATTAAGGCGCCCCTATATTAGGGTCTAGCGTTGAGGGTTTTTGGCTGAGCTCGAGGCTGGGGCGCAGGCGCGACAAGTTGGGCTAGAGTCCCTTTAAGTTCTGATACAGCCCTCAAGTGTTTAGTATAGGGTTTAGGGTTTAGGGTTTAGGGTTTAGGGTTTAGGGGTTTAGGGGTTTCGGGTTTAGGGTTTAGGGTTGCAACAATTACCTATACTATTTTGCTATTTTGGGGGTTCCTTATAAGAACTATAGTAGAATGTACCCCAAACCCTAGTCAAACTACTAAGGCCCCTACAAGAGGGAGTAGGAGCCATGAGCCGTTGTGTCAGTGGAGGCCATCAAGGATTCTCGCGAGACCATGGGTGAGGACATTGCGTACCGTGCCTGCACTTCTTCCCCAAACCCTCAAGCTCTAACGCCACAGAGCCCCAAACCCCAAGCCAAACCCTAACCGTTAATACTGAACCCTCATCCCTAAGCCCTAAACCCTGAAGCCCTAAAAACCCGCGAGCCTAAACCCGAATCCCTAAACCCTTGATCCTAAGACCTCATCACCGGACCCTTCATGCAAAGCACGAGTCGCTGTTGTGTAGAGAAGAGCTTTCTTGGGCGATACAAACTATACTAGAATTATGCCAGGACGCCTCAACCTCTTAAACTCTACACCCGAAGCCCCTAAACCCTAAACCCTAAACCCTAAACACTAAACCCTGAACTAAACCCTCAACCCTAAACCCTGAACTAAACCCTNNAAACCCTAAACCCCAAACCCAGAACTGTAGAGCGACACCGCTTGCCTTAAAATTTCGGCCCCGCTCTTCCCCGTACACCCCGCAGCCCCCGAGCCTCGATCCGAGCCCCAAGAATCCTGGTAATGTGGGTGCCTTGGGTCTGAAAGGGTTTAGGGCTTAGGGTTT